TAAGGATAAGGGATAATTACATTAAATAAAGGGACCTCTATCTACACCTTTGTGTGACCAAACAAATGAAGTTATGTTAAGTAATAATTAAAAAATATACCTATTCAAAGAAAGATCCAACACATCATGCGCCAAAGCCTGGTATGTCCAAGTGTGATGTAAAGGTGTTGCCATATCAATGTTTCTATCCAATAATATCAACATCGGTCGGGTGAAACTGAAGGAACCAGTTTGACCAGTGTTGCCATGGAACAAATTATTTCTTGCGTCCCATAGATTTTCACGAAGTTTCTTATCGAGCTTTTTCGCCACCATTTCCGCGGCATTACCTTTGCTACTTCGAATTATTGGAACATTACCTTTAAAAAAATATTATATGCATTAAATTGCAGAAATTGTCAACTATAATGATACTACTATATGTAAATGTACACCTAATTTATGCAGCATAATATACATTATACATACTGAACTGTGTTCTTAATTACAATTGTATTTGCATATTGATTAATGAATCATAGTTGTGATAACATAGTACATACCTAATGTCACAAATACTGAGAATAGACTTTCAACTATATTGTCCATAATAGCTTCCATTTCTGTGTCCTTGGTGTCACCTCTATTAATGGCTGAAAGAATAATTTATTTTAATTTAATTTTAGGGTAAAAAGTACATTACACATGATACACAATTTTATGTTATAGATTATTAAATAGTTTGGCATACAAGTTATTCAATTGTAAAACCTGTTACTTATTTGTTTTATTGATTTCTAAATAAGACAACAGTCATTTTTATAACAATTATAGGCGAATCTGTGTATAAAAATCGTTGATAAATCAGTTCCACTTAATTTTTTCCAAATCCCATTTTTATTTGGCAAAGCAATTTGACTTTTAATCTAAGCAGAATAACCCTATCTTTAAAGTAAAGTGGACTTACCGTAGTAAGATAAAGAATCAGACTGCTGATGTTTCATAATAAAAAGATCATCTTCCAGACAAATGAAGTTCAGGTACTGATCATACACTTTATGAATATTTACTGCAGAATTTGACTGAATCGCTGAAGCTGCCAGGTCTTCAAGTTTCTGCCTTGTTATTGGTGAGATAAAGTTCAAATGGTATTGGTCGTAAACTCCATTGTCTAAGTCTTGGCATATACGACCGAGGTTCTCTTCGGTTGGTGCACAGAAGTATACAGCGGGAACCTCCGGTATGGGGTCACGATCGGAGTGTAGTTGTCTGGAATAAATATTTATAGTAAGATTAATATAAAAATATAGTAAGATTAAAATAAATTACAATTACATACATACATAACTTCATGCCTGTCTCCCATGGGGGTAGGCAGAGACTAATTGTTTGTACTTAATTATATTACTGTTTATTTACTTAAAATTCATTTATAATAATATAGAAACTATTTTATAAGACAATTACTAGATAACAATCTATGTTATTAAACAGTTTATTGATAACTATTTATCAAGAATTTTATCACAATATTTTTAATGATCTGTAATAATTTTTTATGGAACTACATTAGGAATTGAAAAAAGAATTCACAGTTGCAGCTGTAATAAAATAGTGCTTGATGTATGTAAAGATTGGACCTTCTATTACAATCCAATAAGAATAATATAACTGGTGAAAGTTACACACAAACCCGCCTTTGTTCTAGAACATTGTTTTGTTATACTTTCTAGCTTAGAAGTTTTTTTTACTATAAATGGAAGAATATAAATGCTATAAAACATGGCTGAATTAAGATTAGACTGACAATATGAGAGCAAGACAAATAAATGAAATACTATTTCTCTTTGAGTATATTGTATTTCTAATAAGAATGGAGACCATGAAATGGTTTTGCAATTGGCTACAATAACATATAACTAAATTATTAGACCACTGTTGATGTTTATGTATGACTATACTGGTTCATTCTCATTACTGTTGTTATTATGAATGATATTTAGTTGTCCTTACATTTCATTGTATTGACAATAATATTATTAAAACTACCTACTTAACAATCACTTTTAAGTAATTAAATAAGTCAATTTAGTTTTATTCTGTGGGCTAATTCAGTTATAGGAAGAAAGTGATTGTAACCACTTTTAATAGCAGAGTCAATTTTGTTTCACAAGTACCTAATTCTGTTCAGTAGAAGATCTTTAATGATTGAATACCAGAGTGCTGCATGCGCAGATCAAAGTAGTAGGTAGTAAAGAAGGTTCCAAGGTACATAATTCAATGGTTACTCACACATGCAGAGTCACGCCGAGTTCTCGAAGTTCCTTGACAGATATCAATGGAGATATCACGTCTTGGCCCACTCTATCGTAGATCAACACTTTCCACGTAGGTTCACATGCCACGCTCTTAGTCAAAGGCTGATTCAAATTCAACATTTGCTTCAAAGCATCTGCAAAATTAGAACACAAATAAATAATCCATAATCCACTACGTGTAATCTTCAATTGGTACTTAAACACAATACGCACTCAGTTGTCGCTCACGTAAAGTACTCATTTTGTTAGGCTAAATAAATATCCCTTTCATTCAATGGCAATTTAGGTTTAAAACACTAATTATTAAACGTTTAATTCCATTTATTTTCTTCGGGAATTGTATTTCTTCAAATGTCAAATTTGACGTTTGAAACAGCGACACGTCGGCCGCAAAGACATCGTTCAGAAATATATCGGATACACTGTCAGAGTGTCAGAATGAAAAAGTATTTATATAAAAAAGTATTGGCAGTTAAGAATTCAAAAGTCGATCGGAAACCATTAACTTCCAGTAAAAAAGAAAAAGTTTTTGTTTTTTTTTATGATTTTATAGCTATCCATCCATTTTTTTATTCAAATATAGCCAGCATGTTTTACCAAAGGCTTTAATGGGCTAACGAAATACTTTTTGCTTGAAATATAAACAAATATATTTGTTGTGTTCAGTTGAATACAAATTAGAATCACTATCGAAATATAAATGAACAGTAATATGATCAAATAAAATAAATTAAATTGAAAGTACCCTTGCCCTTAACCGACGAGCATGCATGAAAAGATCGATGGCTGTTGATGAAGCGAAAGAGGTATGTAGGAATCGTAGTAATTGGCGGTCCATAGTCTCTGCCTACCCCCATGGGAGATAGGCGTGAAGTTAAGTATGTATGTATGTATGTATGTAATATGATCATTTAGGACTTTAATCAAACTCAAACTCAAACTCAAAGTCTTTATTTGCATGTTAAGGTAATACATACAGGTCATTACAGGTCTTACGAAATAACAGGCGCAGCTTAACGGCCTTTTTCAGGCCTCCTCCTTCCTCAATCCTTTAATCCTTTAAATCGTTGGCAGATATCAAGCACATCTAAGAGCAACGATGTAAGAGTTCCAAGGAAATTTATGCTCGATATCATGTATTATCATTAGGTATCTATTCCGCATATTACTCGGTACTATTACTCGGTGATTCATATTGCTGATTGAATGTTGGAAAGAGACAATTATGTTCGGGTACTGTAATATTTTGCCAGGCCCAGAGATCGAATCGGACGCCTCTTGCTTGCTTGGCGGTTGCTTTTACAAGTTGCGACCACTCGATCAATGAGGCTTTTGTATGGCCTTTTGTATGTTTGTATGTTTGGGTACGTAGTTGTCTACAACTAGAAACAGTTTCTTAGTATCCAAAATAAACGTCCTTACCGTGTTATCAACTATCCCTCTAATACGTAAGCGTAAGTAAATTAGCCGCTTATGTAGGTACTTATATCTAGCAGGATTCTCCGGGTACGACAATGTCCAATTATGGCATCCCTGTTTCAAAATCTGAGTATCTAGCTCACATAGCTAGTGTAGTGTAGGTATAGGACACGATGTATAAGGATTAAAGATGCATGTAGATCGGTACTTAGTTTGTTAAAACTTTTTAGGCTTGTCTTGAACCTTAAACATGCTATAGTCTTTAGTTTATTAGTCCATGTTTTAAATGAAGCATATGTTAAAAATGCGATTACGCAGCGTGGCTAAGGCACGGCTAGTGGTTGGGCGATCGGATGTTAGCCACGTTTCCTGGGTTCAATTCCTACAAGGGATATTTTAAGATGTGACTTGAGACTGAGCTGACATTTTGATACTACAAGAATAATCAACATCAACAGCCTATAAATGCTTACTGCTGAGCAAAGCCTCTTCTCACACTGAGAAGGTTTGAGCATTAATCACCAAGTTTGCTCAATGCGGGTTGGCAATTACAGACTTATAATTAGAAATTATAAGCCCAGGTTTCCTCACGATGCAGAGAGCTGGGTATATATAAGTTCTTTTTCTGTAACCTGTAACAGAAATCAATGACTGCCCCTTGTTTTACAAACCGTATTTCAAACCGATTGCAGAAATTAGTTCTAAAGACATAAAATAAAAGCTCTAGAATTATCTATCAGTAAAAATGCAGTACCTAGCAAGACTTGCATCAGGTTTGCATAATACCAACTGCCAGATATTTGTTTAATAGCCTCAATCTAGTGACTAATGATTTGCATACGGCGTTGGTAGTTGGTACGCCAGCAACTTCAACAGTCTCTGTCCACCACACGGCTGTTTAACTTTTTATACATTTGTTCACGGTAAATCGAAGTACGATCTTATCTTCTTTTTAGTGAAGGTACAATAATTGATGGTGTAAAAGCAATTCATATCAGCAGGATGCTGAGACTGTTTGTGCCTGGTTTATGCATAGAACGTGGGGAAATAGGGGAAGTGCATATTTTTATGTAAGGGTCATCTTCGCCTATTGCATCAGCACCTTTCCATTTATTTAAAAGCGATAGATATATTGTCAATATCATTGGCTGCACACGGAACCTAATTTGACACGAATGCGCACGTAAGCAGCACCTACCTTTATTTGACGAATGTCAGGGGGTTTGAGGAGAAAGCCGCCCGCGGAGGTCGGCTGGTGATGGCAGCGTGAGGCGCGAGCTCGGCGGCTCGGCACAGTGCGCGCGCGCCGGTGAAAGGCGTCATGTCGATACTATACGCAGTGAACATGCATAGTGTGCGGACCGCAAACGCCATGGCCGGGTTACCTTATATGCGAATATTACTTATTTGTGCTATTTTAATCAATGGTTAGTTCTAATAACTTCAGTAATTATGGCCTATAATTTTGTGATTATTATATGTTCTGTTTAGTGATCAATCACCACATTACGACGGTTTTCCACATATAAATAACGATTTAAAAAAACAACCAATGCGTAATTCGTAATCTTATGCAAGCTGGCCGACGATCAATTCGTTACTCGTTAACGTAACTGTTACAACGAAATGATACTCAGTGAAAGCTATTCATCGTGTTTAGCCAGAATTTTTACTATTTCATAAAATAACGTCGAATGTGAAAGCGTGTGACAAAATGTTTGTAGGAGCGTTTTGCATTACATTAGTAAAGTACCCAATAATATGTTATATTTAGAAAGCGTCAGATGTGGCTGAATAATGTGCCTAATTGTAATTCGTCTGGCACGTCCTTTCTTTCACTTGACATTGAGGCCTGTGACCGGTTGCGATCGAGGATATTGACACTTACGACTTACGTCGGTACTCAATGCAGTTACCTGATTTAACGTCTACTTATCTCACAAGGCTCAGTCCGGAAATTTATGGCCGAAGGCGGCAATGTCTCACTGATTTCTCGTCTCTAAAGTCTTTTGATTCTCATTTGCTCTGTACTTAATTACGTGACCCGAAAGAAGTTAGACAGATAAATCTTAACAAGTCTGAAACAGAGAGAACTTTTAAATTAACTTCAGATCTAATAAAATACACGCTGAGACGTCTGCACCTGTAATTTAGAAGTACTGCTCCAAGTGTTTAGGTTTACCAACCAAACGAATTTCGTAAATTCAAAGCTCACGGGAGTAAAGCGCGTCTAACTCTCCGGGACAGAGCTCTGGTACAGTGTACAACAAAAGTAATTAACAACTGTCAAACAAACCAAAAGAACAAACCAGTACCTAAGTGTAGCTAGTCTATGACTGTGAACATGTTCTGTGGAAATATTTCTTTGAATTTAGGTGTTACGTGAAGTGAATGTGAAGAAACTTCAGTGCATATTTGTTTGTAATTTCAATATTTCAAAACTACGTCTGTAGTTTCAGAATGGAACAATTTATTGGCATGTTAAACAGAGACATAATCAATTCACAAACCTCCAAAGGCCCACTAAATTTTGTAATCAGTTACCTTATAAATAATGAATGAGGAATGCGATGTGGTTTGTCTGTCTGCTTGCAAACTGAGATAAGCACTTAAAGATTAATCTACAATTGAATGAGTAGGAAACATTGAGCTACCAAAAACTCTCAGAGCTATTGTGCCTACGGCTGATTGTTTTGTTAGAAAAATGCTGGTATGAATAAATTGAGGTCTGCCTTCTAATTATCTTTTTGTTTTGATGTCTGTCGTTGAGGTTTTTTACTTAAAAATTAATTAAACACAAATTAACTTCGGGGTAGATTGTTCTAAACTTATTTAGAAGACAACTCAAATGAGATGAAGTCTGTTTAGATTCTTTTTGAAGATAAACTAAGACTTTGTAAACGTTTTTTAAGAAACACATTTTTTTATTATATGACGGGAATGATGGATTGTGATAATCAAAATAATTTTCGTCATTTTTTTTTCTAGTCCCTATGGCATTTTAAAGTGAGACGTGAGACATTGAGGTTCGCGTTAAAAGTCTAACTAGTCGTTATTTGGCAAGATGTCTAGACAGCTTAGCGTCAGTCTTTTCTAATAGCTTTTATATTCAACGAAAGTCCACAGACGTGATTACATTTGTATTTGGTTCAAAAAATTTAAACGAATTTTATCAAGACACCTAATAAGTAGTGTAATAGTGAAGTTCATTATGTAATTGCGACGCGTTTCATAAATTGTTTAATAGGAGGAAATTAAATTCTTCAAATGGTCTTGATATTTATTGTATTTAAAATTAAAAGTAAAATAATTATTTACGCCAACCGCACAGACTACACTACGTATTAGACAAATCCTTGAATATCGATTATGTATTATAGATTCATTTAATAACGCAATACGTTTTGCATTTTAAGTGGCTTCTTAATTCTTTATTTGGCCAAAGAATTCGATAATTAGTTTGATAAGGAAGTTGTATGAAATTAATGATATTTAATCGTGACTTCCCTATCATGTATAGTCTCCCGAAATGATCGAACACTACGTTCGATCATTTCGGGAGACTATACAATTGCGTAACATACTTTCACCTTTCAATATAATAATAGCAAATTAGTGTTGAAAGTGTTTCATACAATAACACAGCGTAACTTTACATGATGTAGATGATTGCTGTTACATTAATTTACTAATAACGATTAAAATTGTGAAATTACGTGAAGCGACATTAAGCCCATCCGACTGTTAAGAAATGCGTCGTTATGTATTTAAGAGAAATTCCAGTGAGAAAATCAAATAGAAACTGTTCTCAGGATTTCCCTTAATAAAGTAAAGACTTTGTAGTCTTCTGTCTGGGCTAAAGCCTGTAGCTCCCTTGTATTTGTACAGGACGAAGTTTTAAATACCTAGGACAAGGTGACACAACGTTAAAAGAATTGTATTATTTTAGATTTTGAAACTGGTTTATTGTTTTACAGGAAGCTACCAGCAGAAAGATAAGCACGAGGACTTCGTGTGTCCTGAAGGTACACAGGGCAATGGAAATTTTGCTGATCCTGCTACGTGTAGGCGGTTTTACCAAGTAAGTGAATATTTTTATACCAGTATCTATTTTTAAAAATATTTGTAAGTTTTTATTGAGAATTATTACATACAATCAGTAAGATATTAAATTATATTTTGAGAAACTTAAATAGTGTCTCAAAAATCTGATAGGTAATAACAATATAACCATTACAAGTATGAAGGTAGAAGGAAAATCATCGACTACACTCTAACTCTAAACGTTGTAATAAACAATAATTGTATAATTGGCCTGGCTGAACTTCCGCGTACCCGGCAATATTTAAATATACCCTTTATATCTTCCTATAAAACGACTTCCTATATAAATATTATGTAAGGAAGATTCACTGTGTAGGTACTTTGCCTCACCAACCTTTAAAAAGAGAATTTTAATATCATTTTTATTGATACTCACTATTTCTATTTTCAAAACCGTAACCGTCCGAATACCGAAAGGCTACTCAGAAACTGGCAGTATGGTCGATAACACTGTATTAGAGACTCGGTTGCCATTCAAGAAGAAAAAATCTATAGTGACATCTCTGAGATATCACAAAGAATTTGTAGTGACATAGAATTGAGTAGCGTTTGAGTATTTGCACATAAGTCACACACACAACACGTAACAAGAATTGAATTAGCCTTAACGACCAAAGTTTTGATCACGTAACCAACAACTGCCTCGTTGGCCGAGTGGTCGCAAGTGCGACTGCCGGGCAAGGGGTCTCGGGTTCGATTCCCGGGTCGGGCAAAGTATTACTGGTTTTTTTTTAAAATTCTCAGTAGTAGCACGGAGTCTGGAAATGTGCCCGGTATATGGCAATAGGCTCACCCCCTATTACATGGGACTCATAACATAAATAGTGAAAAGTGGGTGTTACTTCTATTGTTACTTCTATGCGCACCTCTGCCTACCCCTTCGGGGATAAAAGGCGTAATGTTATGTTATGTTATGTATATAATTCGAATGTTACAGTCCTAATTTTTTTTTAATTTAATATATTTAGGCATACATTAAATTGCATTATATTTTTTTTTTCTTCTTTGGCAACCGAGTCTCCAATACGATGTTGTCGACTATACTGCCAGTGTCGGGTATTGCAATACAGATACAGGTGCAGATGTCAGTATCATATCTGTCAAAAACTTCAATAATGTTAAGTTGTCAATGTCACATATGACACACATTAATAATTGTCATGTGAAGGTAACGGGATTTGGTGGAGAAAAATGAGAAAATATATTTTCGGAGTTCATAAATTGAGGGAAAATATGCAAGCAATTAATGCTGACAGAATACAATACTCCATTCATGTAGATACATACGTTGGCATCCATTACGTATCATAAAGTTGCCTATACATAGGTACTTTTACAACATCAATTAAGTTGCATACAACCATCTTGTTGGTTATATGACTATGTATGTATCTCAAATGCCTATAAACCCATCAAAGTAATTGGCAAAATATCTCAGATATAGTACGGCAATCAATCAGTGGAATCTTTTATTAGCGGAACAAAATTGCGAAACATCACATATTTTTATTATACAATCGGATTATTAGATACACAATAGTTATTAATAGTTTGTACGTGGTTTTATTACGGAACTATAGTATTTATTTTGGCAGATATTGACATTTTCGAATCTCGATCGACCGGTTTCGACACAACCAGTACCTAATGGGCTACAAGAGTATAGCTCGCGGTAATTCGAAAATGTTTTTCTCGGAATTGGAACGTAAAAATAATTGGGTTCTAGTTTTTCGTATGCGGTGTAAGTATTTGTTGAGAATATCGGTATTCGAGGTATTTTTGTATTAGTGACCGGACCACAGCGAGGATTTTGTTATTCACGCGTCTTTATTACCTATGTCCGTTGAATGTTAAGTCGACGGAGGCGCGATGGCTCGCGGTTGTGACGAACGTGTGTGACTTCGACTACACACAGTACTAATAGGTTTATTTCTTTGATGTGACACAGCAAAAATGTCACCGCCATTTTTAATGATATGAACAACGGTATTTCTCTTTAAACATGCATAATAATGAAGATGTAAAAATATCAAGAAACAGTAAGCTGTATCGTGATATTTTTTCGGTAAAAATGAAGCTGTAATCGAATGTTTTTGTGTCGATTACATTTAAGAGCTTTTAAAACGAACAATAATTGTAATAAAGTCGGTGTATTCGGTATAAACTACGGCCTTGATCTTGATCGTCTTCAAGTTCAGTGAATCTGAGACCTCATGGGTCAACGAAATTAATAAAAAACGACAGTATTCTTTTTATGGTAATTTTATCCTTAACGTAACAGGTTTAAGCTAAGGAGAATTGGGGTGTTAGCAGGTAGTTACATACTTTTTGCAAAGGATACCTACAAGGCATTTGTGATATTCAAAACTAGTATTTTAGACTTTTATTCCGATACGGCCTTGGGGAAAACGGGCCTCTTGATCATCAACATCTAATAATACAGAGGTGGAAACCCGAAGCGCTTATTGCCATTCTCTTATCCTGCGAAGCATACACTAGGGGTAGGCACAACCGCTACATTCATATTTTTATGGACAAACACCGAACATTTTTCGCATAAAACGGTGAATTCCTTTTTTCGTATGCCGTTGTATGTAATAACGTAACCCCGCGTGACTAACCCCCCTGGGATTACACTTGAGTTTATGTTACGTCCGCGAAATTGGACGGATTCAAAAATAAAAATGGCCGCCCATAACCGTAACTATGTTATGTCTAGTTATAGTAGTGTCTCTTTTGTTTTACCTGCAGTAGTTTTATTTATTGAAGTGTTGGCTAGTGTAGGCATACGAAAACATGAGATGCGATGAATTTATGATTGTAAATCCCTAACTTAGGTTCTTAGAATTACTCCATCGAAACGGTATTCAATTGGTTTTAGGCAAACAATTAATGAATTAGACATACATAGGTATATTGTCATGTAAATACGTTAGTTTTAAGACGTTCGTTAAAATGAAAGTGAAAAGGAAGAAGTAATAAAGAGACTTAACAAGAATTAGACACCAAAGTACTTTGAATCTGAATATTGTACCCAGTTCTACATAATAATAAGTTTATGTTTTGTTTGTAACCTTTATAGATTTACAGGTTTGTTAATAATGTCTCAAAAGTTTTGCTTTTGACTGACAACAAATAAACAAGTCTCATTTCAGAGTTGAAAATGTCTGAAACAAACATATTTTTATACATGAATACACTTGAAAGTAACATTTGGGAGGAAAATTGAAGTTGATACGTCGAAACATATTATTTCGTTCATTTCCAAGTACCTACATATGTAAGTACGTACCTAAAAGACGTGTCAAGCTTCGTTTTTGGGTAGATTGGTTCCAAGAAATGTTTGCTAACCTGATCGAATGAGCTTCGCATTTTCATTTTTATTTTTATTTTTTCGACTTCCTCTTGCGAAGACATTCTTCGGATTCCATTTTCCATATTAGGTGGTCGTGTTTCTGTCAACTAGTATACTGCACTGGTTACTAACACGTTATTTTTAAAAGTTATTTATCATAAGAACCTGGTGGTTTTGATAATTTCAGCTATAGGTACATAAAAGAAATTGCTAAGGAAGGTGTAATAATAAATTGGAAGATTCCTTGTTCAAAATTCATTTATATTTGTGAACACAAGGTACAATGATCAGGGTATAAGTATAGTGGTTAGCCTAACCTATGTTCCGCCGAAAGGCATACAAAACAATAACGAATAACAACTAATAAATGATGACATTTCCATGAGAGCTTAGGTATATTAAGATATGAGCCGCGGAGAATTAAACAGGTTATCGGGGCTCCGGCTCGAAGTGCAGGAGTAGGAATCACCCGGGCGGGAGAAGTCATTGGATGAATTTCCCCCCTTAAAAAAGATATATTAAGATTTAATGTTGAGACCTAGTATTACTTATTAAAAGACCCGCGGAAAGAAGATCACAGGATAATTTAAAGAGTTTAACTTTAGTTGAGACTCTTAAATAAATTTATTAACTTCTATATTTTTTTTCAGTGTGTGGATGGCTATCCGTACTTGAACAGATGTCCCTCTGGGCTATACTTCGATGATATTAGCAAGTACTGTACATTCAAAGCTGAAGCCAGATGCGGCCCCATCGCCACAAGTAGGTATCTATAATATTACAACATTTTGGACAAGTTTTCAATTAATTTCGAGTTTTGGTATTAAATTGAAATGTTTTAAAGTTTGAAGGACAATTTGCACGTACACATGTGTATATTTAATAATTTACATTGTAATATTGCATTCTATTTATATTGTATATTATAATTTATATTGTATATTAAATAATTTATATTGTAAATCTATATCTATATATATAAGGTATATAAAAGAAAGTCGTGTTAGTTACACCACTTATAACTCAAGAACGGCAGAACAGATTTAGCTAAAAATTGGTATGGAGGTAGCTTAGAGCCAGGAGACGGACATAAGATACTTTTTATCCCGTTCGAAAAAAAAAAGTTTAGTTTAGTTTTAGTTTCCGGGAAAAACAGGATTGCGCGTACGAAGTCGCGGGCAGAAGCTAGTCTCTATATATAAAACAAAGTCGTGTTAGTTACACTACTTATAACTATAGAACGGCTAAATCGATTTGGATGAAAATTGGTGGGAAGGTAGTTTAGAACCAGGAGACGAGAATTTTTTTTTTACTTTTTATCGAGTATCACGAACGGGAACGGGAAAAAACAATATTGCGCGTACGAAGTCGCGGGCAGAAGCTAGTAAACTATATAACAATACGTTTTCATTTTGCTTAAACAGTTTTCATAAACTATAAGCCCCCAGTCATCTGGGGGCTTACTCTTGACATTAGTATTGTGAAATTTCGTACCTACTCTTGAGCTGCAATAGTAGCGCTCATTGCATCTGTAGTGCGTGGATATTTAATGAACTAACTGGTACTGAGTTTAGCTTTGAATCCCGCACTCTGAATGCTGTTTTAACAGCTACGACAGGGGTTGTATAGTTTTGACTTTGAATAATTATTGAGATTTTATTGGATTGAAATTGCATTAACATTGAGATTGGTTTAAAGAGTAAGCACCCTGATGACAACTCAATATTGTCCTGAAATGGCAAGATTTGTGTATTTATCTTCTTATAGTTTCTTTATGTTGAATTATTTATAATACTTAAACCGTATGTACTTATTTACCGTGATTGTAAGGGAATCAGCAAAGAAGCTTACATTAAGCGTGACTTTGCACGTTTATTGAATTTATCCTCAAACCTTGAATTATATTCAGCCTTGTAACATTTACGTTTTTCAATTTTTTCTGCAATTGATGATATCACGTTGCTAGATGCACCTATTGTGATGGAGCCAAATTATTAAGGTTAAAACCATCAATAATAGCTTGAATGAAAATAATCTCAATAACCTATGTAGTAAGTTTCAAAATTGACCTGATTTTTCTTCTAGCCCCTGCACCAATAACTGAAGCACCTCTGGACCTGGCTACCAAGTGTGATCCTGCGGAATGCCAGCTGCCTTACTGCTTCTGTTCCAAAGATGGCACCCTCATACCTGGAGGTCTCGATCCAGAAGACGTAAGTGAATAAATTTTTTAATTTAATATTGATAACGAGAATTTCCGTTATAAGTACGTAAAAATAATGAATCTCTCGTTAATTTGATATTAAGTAAATCTTTTTTAGTTGCTTGTAAGGTAACCTAAGGATGTTAAGAGGCCGGAGATAGTCTCTTGAAACAAGGACTGAAGCACCTGGCTACTATAGACTTATACGCAGAATACACACACATTACCACGAAGGACATTATGTCGCGTGACACGGTGGTGTTGCAAATACACGCACACATAAATACACCACTGACATCATGGTGCTTGAATAATTACTAAGTGACATTCCGTCCATTGCCGTGACCATTACCTCGTACAAAATTACCAAATTGTTTTCGGCATTAATTGTGATACAAAAATAGTTGATTTATTGACCTTTACATAGTGCTTTAAACCAACAAATAGACGTACAAATGAACATGTTTATTTATTGGAAAACAAACATTCACAATAGCTTTTAATTGTGACTGAACATCATGTGATTTCCTGGTTTACTCCTGTTTATGAACTGTTCTAAATAAATAAAAATTGATTACGATTATAAACTTTATGTTAAACACGTATAACTGGAAATCGGTCGATATTATTTACACAAAATTAGCATGCCATTCACAAAATAAACCTTGGAAATATTCAAAATTATAAAATCATACCTAAATCCACATAATTTTAATTAATGTTTTCGAGAAACTATTTACATTGAATTTAATATAAGAAACATTTATTTGTAGCATCATTTGATATAATGTATAATATATAAATAAGTACCGTAACATTAATTTTTGCATTGAAGATTCTATAAAAAGACCGTGTCTAACGTGTCTACGATTTGGTAATCTGCGATTGGAATAAAAAAATACTTACGCATGCAAAAGTCAAGTCGTGCATACTAAATGACTGAATCGGAGTTACGTGTGCATATGTAAACACGTTGCTTTGGTCATGGCCAATCTTTTAAGAGCTTAACGTTTCGTAGAAATCGTATGTTTAGAGAAAAAAGTGTTATATCCTACGAAAACAACAGGGGTTTGGTATGAAAAAAGATACCTAATAAAATGTCTCGCTCGTCTTTCTACTACCTGGGAAAATTTAACGTACCTTGGCCAAATTCAATAAGTAGTCGCCCTTACTTTACTATATTACTTACTGAACCTAATGGTTCGGAAAACCAAATAAAGTAAAAAGGTGATAAGTAAACTCTACGATCGTCTAGTACACAAATATTCTTTACGAAGTATTCACTTTATAAAGTATCTAGTTGTTTACTTATGCCATATTTGAAACCACTGAAAGTTTATTTTCATACATAATTAGGTATTGTAAAGTTGAAATGTAAAATTGTATCTAAAGTAGGTATATGAGACATAAAAGTTCAATTCCATTGCAGACGCCCCAAATGATAATGCTGACATTCGACGGCGCTGTTAACTTGAACAACTTCGAACTGTACAAGAAAGTGTTCAATGGGAAAATCAAGAACCCTAATGGCTGTCCCATTAGAGGCACTTTCTTCCTGTCACACGAGTACAGGTAATTACTAAATGTGTCATTGTTTACATTTGCGATATTATAATATAACACACGGAGGTAAGTAATCCGGGAAGAAAATAAGTGTTTAGAGGTAAAGCTACTGTGACGTAACACCTTCTTTATTGGACTGTGATTACGCGAAGGAATGAGTAATTTACATACATACCTTAATAAGATATATTACTTTTCAAAAGCAAACGAGTCTATGAGTTCCAGGCACAATGATTAGGTATTTGCCAACTAGTGTAATTCAATACTTTTTCGATCTGACAAAAACGATAGTTTTATATGAATTCTGTACGACATTGTGTATTGTGACATCACGTTTTTAGCGGCAAACAGCATATTATTTCTTAAAAGTTGCTGGAAAAATACTAAAATTAAGTTGGTCATAAAATCAATGAATGAAAGTGTGATTATTTTATTAATATGTTATTGTGTTGAAATAATTACTATTAATATTATAATACTTTTGATTAGAAAGTTCCCAATTATAGTGTGTATGTTGATGTCGGTCTCCATGATACTAATGAGAATCCCATTTCGTGTCAGACTCTCTGGTCATTTTAAAATAACTAATTACGTAATAATTTACATTAAAGCTTTACGACGTCTTTAATTAGGAAAAAGTACCTACTTAATTAATATTATTACAACGTAAAAGAACATTCTAGATATTAATTTTGCGTTACATTTTTCTAATAATTACCATCTGTGTAATGAAGTTAGGAATAAAAGTTACGAATGGAATTAATATCTACGTCTTAATTAATTAGTGATAAACAATTTACCAAGTTCCTGTGATTAATTTGGACGATAGTTTGGTAATTACTTATACAAGTTTCATGTTAATTACAATGTGACTATTATTCAGCCGCTTTTGATAGCCGGCAGCGGTTTTAGCAATCCATAGCTCCATGTATAATCCATTAGTGATTGGAATATTTTTCTAGTTTATTTACATATCGATTTGCATTGTTTATGAATTATGCTAATGTTTTCTTTTAGTATCTAACTTTCACGGCTTTCCAGATTTGTTATTTTCATAATGTTATAGGTATTATGCTATTGTACTACGTATTTATTAATACTCAGATCTTCACTTACAATTCACTTCAAATTATAAATATTGTTTTTTTTTTCAGTAACTACGTGCAAGTCCAAGCCCTTGCACATGATGGTCATGAGGTAAGTCATTAAAACATCATATTTGGTTTGGTTTACTATTTTTCCTATTGGATAAATACTTTTAGAGTTAGATATGGCCTTGTCAATTAATTGAACTATCAACAATCCCGACCAATGCAACTGATTTCTAATAATCTAATAATAATCTAGTATCGACGGAACTGAAATGTAAAAAACAATTCTTGTGTAATTCACAGATAGCGACGGGCACGGTATCGCAGCAGCAAGGTCTTCAAGACAAAGGCTACGAAGAATGGGCCGGTGAGATGATTGGCATGCGCGAAATTCTTGGCAAGTTTGCCAATGTATCGCGATCAGAAATCGTCGGCGCCAGAGCACCCTTCCTCAAGCCTGGCAGAAATACACAGTTTAAGGTACCTATTCATATTATTTTTCTTCTTTTATTTAACAGGGGTTGTGCAGAGGTTTAATTATAATTATACTGCATGGTGTTGACAACCATTTTTCATTATTCGTTCTGAGTCCTATCTGGTATGGTATGGTAACACTGCGATTGACCTTATTGTCACATTTCAAAACGTTCAATTTCAACTTCAACACTTCAAGGTACATATTTCTTAAATTATTTTGTAGCAATTTTAATAAAACGTTCCTATTCAAAAGGGACCTTATAGTGTAACTTTTTAATAGTATTGCTGGTAACCGAGAAGTTGTGTGGGAACGTATTTTTATTTGTCAAACTCAAGTTTATGGGAATGTAGTGCAAAGGAATTTCGTACCAATGTCATGAGAAAAGTATTGAGGTTGTGCTTGGCATTTGGGTAAAATGTGGCCTTGAAAAATGGTGGAGGTTTTAAGAGATATGAAGGTAGATTTGTGACATGATAAAGAGGAAACTAATGGTACTGCGGGAAGTTCGAAATCATCGCATAGGAAACTGGAACATGATCATTATTGTTTGTATAGATATCTTGTATCTTAGAGATTTAAGTTCGGAAACTCTTGTGAAGATAAAAAATATCCTACTTAATACCTACCTATAGTAAAAAATAAATAAAATAAAAATAAATAAAATAGCCTTTATTGCTGTTTCTTATCAAATATTACACATCATAAATATTCTTACCTAACATGCCTAGTTTCTAGTAAATTAATTTTTACAACTAACTTGCATTGTAACTATCGGCAACTAGGTGTTTTTGTGGAACAGCTTATCTGTCGACAAAGGCCTCCTCTAGAGATTTCCACGTGTCCCCGTCTTTATAGCTAAACGGGTCCATACTTGACTAACTATTTTCCTGATATCATCTTCCCAT